TGTAATCTGTAATATTGGATAGGATCCTGGACCAGAAAGGGAGAGGACAGGACAAAGAAAGCCGTAAAGTGCTGGTGAGCCTCAGTATTTGGGGAATACAGCCCCACTGTCACTTCCCACAGCACTGTGTCACTGTGTTATACTGTACTTCAGTAACTGCACACTGGATCTGGAGCTATCCCTACAAACATCACAGGCCTCCCTAAGAAGCTCTGGAAAATCCCGCAGAGCAACAGTAACATGCAGCTCCGGGACCCTAGGGCAGGCGGACATTGTCAGCTCACAAGATGGAGTTGAAGGCAGGGAGTTGCCTGCAACAGAGCGTCTGTTGAGTGGTGGAGCCCTGAGATGAAGTGGCGACTTGGTGGGCAATTTTCTGTTTGGTAGCATGCTGAGATTAAACACCAAGACCATTCCTCAGTCTAATTAAGCCTGAGCTCAGATTTAGAGCAGCATATTACCAAAGAGTGATTGTCTGGCTCTAAGGAGCTCTGGTAGTGTAGTGGTTACAAATCGGGCTGTGAACCGCAAGGTCAGCAGTTCAAAACTACCAGCTGTTAGGCGGGAGAAAGATGAGGCTCTCTGCTTCCGTAAAGATTTACAGCCTCAGAAACCCTGTACAGGGTCGGAATCGACTCCACAGCACATAACAACAACAACCCCAGATGTGCTTCCCCCTGATTCTGATTTTGGGAGATGGTGCCCTTCCCCTGGGTCGGCCCTGATCTTTTGGGAGAACACTGATCATTAGGAACAAAAGAAAACAAGTTCATTTTGGATGAACAGAAAACAGACAATTAGCTGAGTTTGGCTTGTCCACCTTGAAGATTATCTGTAGGCAACATTAGATCTCAGCAAGATAATTCCTATTTCTTCTATTTTTTCCTTTTTCAGAACTTTGGTCTTTTCTTTTTTGACCATTGCTACAATCCAAACCTTTTTTATCATCTAAACCAAAAACTCCATATCTATTAATCAATAAAACCACCAAGTTAACTCTGACTTGGCAATCCACACATGTCAGAGGAGAACTGTGCCTTGTATGGGTTTTGATGGTTAATTTTTCAGGAAACAGCCAGGCCTTTCTTCCAATTTACCTCTAAGCAGACTCCAATCTCCTACCTTTCAGTTATCAGCTGACTGTGTTAACTGTTTGCACCAGCCAGGAACTGCTACTAAGCAATAACTCCCCACAAACCTGGTGTTGAAAGCAGAGAATACCACAAAGATGTTTACCTGTGCTTTATTGACTACGCAAAGGCTTTCGATTGTGTGGATCATGACAAGCTATGGACAACATTGCGAAGTATGAGTATTCTGGAACACTTAATTGTGCTCATGAGGAATCTGTACCTGGACCAAGAGGCAGTTGTTCAAACAGAACATGGGAACACTGAATGGTTTAAAATTAAAAAAAAAGCTGTGCGGCAAGGTTGTATTCTTTCATCATACTTATTCAACCTGTATGCTGAGAAAATAATACGAGAAGCTGGGTTCTATGAAGAAAAACATAGCATCAGGATTGGAGGAAGACTCATTAAGAACCTGCGATATGCAGATGATACAACCTTGCTTGCTGAAAGTGAAAAGGATTTAAAACATTTACTGATGAAGATCAAAGAGCACAGCCTTCAGTATGGATTACATCTCAATGTAAAGAAAATAAAAATCTTCACCACTGGACCAATAAACAATATTCTTATCAACGGAGAAAAGATTGATGTTGTCAAAGACTTCATTCATCTTGGATCAACTATCAACACTCACGGAAGCAGCAGTCAAGAAATCAATGGACATTTTGCATTAGGCAAATCTGTTGCACGAGACCTTTTAAAACTGTTGAAGAGCAAAGGTGTCAGCTTGAGGACTAAGGTGCACCTGACCCAAGCCATGGTATTTTCAATAACCTCATATGCATGCGAAAGCTGGACAGTGAATAAGGAAGACCGTAGAAGAATTGATGCTTTTGAGTTATGGTGTTGGAGGAGAATATTCAAAGTGCCATGGGCTGCTAAAAGAACCAATAGATCCATTTTGGAAGAAGTGCAGCCAGAATGCTCCTTGGAGGCCAAGATGGCCAAACTTCATCTCTCATACTTGGGACATATTGTCAGGAGGGACCAGTCGCTGGAGAAGAATATCATGTTTGGTAAGGTTGAGGGTCAGAGAAAAAGAGGAAGATCCCCAACAATGTGGATTGGCCAAGTGGCAGCATCGGTGGACTCAAGCGTGGCAACAGTAGTGAGGTTGGCCCAGGAGCAGGCAGTGTTTCGTTCTGCTGTGCGTAAGGTCGGTATGGGTTGGTACCGACTCGATGGCACCTAACAACAACAACAACCTGGCGTGGTGCTGTAGGATTAGCACTGGTATGTACGCTCAATTAGAACCACAAGGTCAATGGTTCAAATTCACCAGCCACTCCTCAGAAACCCTATACAGGATCACTATGAATCAGAACTGACTCGGTGGCACTTCATAATAATAACAACCACCTGCTTTTTGTTCTATACATTTATCTACACTAGTTATTCCATATAAGTAGAATCACATGGTATTTTGGGATGCTTCCTTTTGAACTTGGCATCACAGAGGACGACTGTGTACTCCTACGATACCCCTCAGGAACTTGAGACAAATTAGCCTGTTGGTTCACATGGTCTGCCCCAGTTGGCATATCTTAAGTCCTGTGGTCTTACAGCCATATCGAAATGTCCTTTGGATTATCTGGTGAAATGAATTGTACTTCTGTCCGTACCTTTCTATTAGTCCAGCCAGCCAGCCAACATCTATGAAGATCACAGTCTGGGCTCAGATCCAGGCTGGACTCCGGGAGGGACCCAGAACAAGAACAGAATGGTCTTACCACCCCTACTGTCCAGAAGCTGATAGTCCTTAAGAAGAACTGGATCATCTGTCATTTGTAAGAAATAGCAATAGCCTTCCTGGGTGGATGCCCATCACGAATCCTTACACCAGCCCCAGGCCTCAGGCCCCAGGGGAGAATACTCGACCTCTCTACCAGGGGCCCTGCAGTCGCCTCTGTGGCCGGCATACATGGTGGAGCTGATTGCTGCTTGCCATCTGTTTGAGGAGCTTTTAGTAAACTGGGAGGAGACCATAGACCTACCTGCAATCCCTGGGCTGCCGTTACACAAACACAACCTCAAAAGGAAGGGCCATCATCTTTAATGCTTGCGCTTCTGTGGGAGGACTGGGAGCTCCTTCAGGAAGTACAACCTCCCCCTCACTGTGCCAGCCTGCTGCAATATCCTCCTCCTGGTGCTCCGTATGTGAGGGAGTTCAAACCACATTGTTATATCTGCAAATGACACCACATTTGCATATCTGTTCAATTGAGATTGCTTCTTTCCAGGTATTCCGCTTAAAACTCCAGAACCACCCTCCCGCTCCCCAGCTACTGTTCTGCTGGTGTCTGGCACCCAGTAGGTCTACCTCAGGCTGCCTAGCATCCAGACCCAGAACCACCTGGCCTGTTGATTCCGCCTGGGGTAAGTGTGCGCAGAGGTTGTGTACCAAGTCTACTTTGTGGAGTTGCCCAGGGAGAGGGCCTACTAATGGAAGACAAGTCACCTCTGAGTTAAAGCTGGGACCTCGGTAGGTCAGTCAATTGTGATGGGTGAGCCAGCTGGGAACATTTAAATCTCTGGGTGGTATGAACGTTAATGTGACTGGAGTGGCAAGTCCTTCCGAGGTGCCCCGGATGAAAGGCCTTGAGATCTCCCTAGGACTTCAGATCTGGGTGGACTCCAACTGGCCACCTTGCAGTTAGTAGTCCAGAGCCTTAACGGTTTTTATCACCCATGGGCTCCACTGCCTATTAAACAAACAAAACCTCTCACTGCTGCAAAGTTGGTTCTAATTCATAAGGACCTGACAGGACGGAGGAGAGCTGCTCCCGAGGGTTTTCGAAGTTGTAAATCTTTATGAAAGCCGCCATGCAACTTTCTCCCAAGGGACAGTTATGGGTTCAAATCTATAGCCTTTCAGTGAACAACTCAGCACTTAACCTACTAGGGATCTTTCCACTCTCCTCTTAACCCACATTAGAGCTGTAGGATAAACACTCAAGGTCGGCAGTTCAAACCCACCAGATGTTCTGAGGAAGAACGATGAGGCGGTTTGCTCCCAAAAAATTGACAGGAAACCCTATAACGGGTTGCTATGAGTGGGACCCGACTCAACAGCACACAACAACAACAACAACAATAAAAGATAAAACTAACAACTGTGCCATGAAAACAGCTCTCATTCTGAGCCTCGGCAGACCAGACTCCTTCTTCTGTCTGGGTGGGCAGTTTGGAAAACTCAGAAAGGTGTTCCTCTTCAGACAGAGATTCTAGAAAGAAACTACCTTCTTGTTCTGGAGCCAGTGTCGGTGATGCCAAGCTGGGAACCACCTAAATCATCTGGCTCAGGAGTCCAGTGTTTGCCTGGACCCTGGAGGGCAGGTCCCCAGGATTCCCTAGGCAGGGTCAGAGTCCCCCAGATTCCCAGAGCAAGGACCTGCTCAGCCTGCCCTTGCAGGGGGACTCGGGATACCCCCAGGTTGCCCTGCCCTGGTCCACACCTAGCCTCACCCTGACTGAGGCATCCTGAGCGCCGTCCCCGGGGGTTGGGGTGGGAGTGGGGGTGGGGGGGTCTCCAATTACCATACAGGCCTCTTCTCCTCGCCCCCACCGTCTGTGGTATTTCTGGCTCCCTGATGGGCAGAACGTTTTGAAATCTGAGCAGACACCATCGAAGTGACACACGGGGAGACTGGCATCTGGCATTAATAGCAGCCTCCCTCAGGCCCCTGAAGTGTCTGGGCAGCTGCTCAGCCCGTCCCTCAGTCCCAAGGCCAGCCCCCTCTGGCTCGCCCTCCACACTAAACTTAGCTCCCACCCTCTGCCACCCCTGCCCAGCTGAGAACCTTGGTCACTGCATTCTGCCCAGGACCTTCCCAGAGAACCTCGGTCACTGTGTTCTGCCTGAGGACCCCACCATGTCCCAGACCAAAACCCTGAAGGTCCGCGTGACCCTCTTCTTCATCCTGGTGGGCATTGTGCTGGCCCTGGTGGCGGTGGTCACTGACCACTGGGCCGTGCTGAGCCCCCACACGGAGCACAGTGATGGCACCTGCGAGGTGGCCCACTTCGGCCTCTGGCGGATTTGCACCAAGCGTATCATCCTGGGCGACAGCGAGGACAAGAACTGCGCAGCCATCACCCTGCCCGGGGGTAATGTACCCACTTCCTGCCCCTGGCCCCTGCAAACCAGGGCAATTTCCTCTGGTTCCTCAGGGACCTGACTCTGAATTGCATGCAGTTGTGCTAACAGCCGGAGCCTGTAGTGAAGTGAGGGTATTGGTCTCCAGTTAGCTCTGTCTTGCTGAGGCTCGGGGGTTTTCACCCATAGACAAGGGCTGAACAAGATAAGACAAGAAGTCCAGAGGGAAACCGCAGCTCTAACAGTCTAAGGGCTTCTGCTTCCAGCAGTGGTCACTTCTCTGGTCCTGCTGTCTTCCTGCAAAGATGGGCAGCCAGTGACTCTGTGTGCCCAGCCTAAAGGGCCGGCAGCTTCATTCTTCCTCCTGTCATGGTTCTGGAGTACTTGGGTGGTACAGTTAATGCACTCACTACTAACCAAAAGATTGGAAGTTCAAATCCACCCAGAGGAGCCTTAATCTACTCCCAAAAAACCAGTCATCGAAACCCCTGTGGAGCACAGTTCTACTCTGTACACATAGGGCCACCATGAGTGGGAACCAGCTCCACGGCAACTGGTTTTTGCAGTCTACAGATGGTGCACATAATTAAAGCATTCAGCTGATAGCTGAAAGGTTAGAGGCTGGAGTTCACCCATAGGACCAATTGACCTTAGCAAAGTCAGCCACTGAAAACTCCATGGGGCACAGTTCTCCTCTGACACACTTAGAGTCGCCATGAACGGAAAGCGACTCAACGGTCACCGGTCACAGAATTTCCAGACACAGGGCAGAATGAAAATGCAGGGCCCTTTGTTTACATTTTTAAACAATTTCAAGACACTGAGAGCCGAACATTAAACCAAACACAGGCCCTTCCAAAGGTGGGGTCTGGAGTCCCAAACAGGTAGACTGTCTCAGCTGAGCACCTGTCTCTCAGCTCTCCCAGCTCAAACCCCCGCTGAGCTGTTGGTGGTGGTAAGTGCCTTTCAGTCACTTCCAATGACTTAGTCCTTGATTTCCTAATGGGTGAGCTCCTTGTCCAGAATACCTGGTCTTGGGTGGGGTTGTGATTCTATACATGTGGGGGCTGTGATTGTAGCCATCTGACCAGGCATCTGAGGAGCATTGTGTGGAGCAGGGAGGTCCTGCCCATGAGCCCCTCCATGACCCGGGGAGGACAAAGCCCCTCTCGGCTTCTGTCTCCTCCTCTACAAGATCCAGGACTTGGACTCAGTTTCCAGAGGTCCTGCCCAGTTCCCATTAATGCCCCTCCAAGGTGCCCATGATCCACAGAGTATGGGTCATCCCACTTGGTTGCAGAATCATTTCCTCTGGGGTCAGACAACTGACCTGTACATGCTGCACCCAAGCCCCACCCCTCTGACTCTTCCTTCAGGAATACCCATCTCCCCTCCTTCCCCCTGGATGCCTGGAAGACTCATAAATGCCCAGCTGTCTTGGAAACACAGAGTCCTAGTGAGGAGGGCCTTGACAGGTGTGGACTTGTGCTAGAAGGGTGTTACATAGCCAGAAGCCCGTGCCCATCGGTCACCAGGGACACGCCTGTAAACAGATGCATCACTCAGCGGACTCCCCTGGGTCAGGCAGGGCAAGGTGGGGCGACAGCGTGTCCAGGGACCACACTTGGCGACACCCCATTATGGTCTTGCTCCTAGCCTGGGAGGTACCACCTTTGAAAGTCAGGGTTCACAAAGCAGATGAGTTGGGAGGTAAGCATGGTTCACACAAGGGGGAGACAGGGGAGGAGAGTGGAGCCACCGAAGTAGATGGGCAGGCAGAGCTCGGCTGTGGGTCTGAGTAGAGCCCACCACTTCACCTTCCACTCAGACCCCCATACCTGCACTGAGTACCACCTCCCCCCCCCACAAGCTGCGAATGGGTTTCTGTGTCTTCCTTCACCTTTCTCTGCAATGAGGTCTCCTTCCTTCCCCACCCACCTCCCACCTCCCTTCTCCGGAAGGAAGAGGAGGATTCCCACACATTCTCTGAATTATTATTAATAACAACAGCAGCAACAATTATAATAATGATAAATTGTCGTCGATGTTAGGTGTCATCAAGTCAGTACCGACCCATAGCGACCCTGTGCACAACAAAATGAAACACTGCCTGGTCCTGGGCCAACCTCACAATCATTGCTATGCATGAGCCCATCATGCTGCCACTGCGCCAATTCATCTCATTGTGGCTCTTCCTCTTTATCTCCGGCCCTCCGCTTTACCAAACATGATGTCCTTCTCCAGTGACTGGTCCCTCCTGACAGTATATCTGAAGTATGAGAGACGAAGTCTGGCCATCCTGGCTTCCAAGGAGCACTCTGGTTGTATTTCTTCCAACACAGATTGGTTTGTTCTTTTGGCAGTCCATGGTACTTTCAATATTCTCCTTCAAGACCATGACTCAAATGCATCAGTTCTTCTATGGTTTTCCTTATTCACTGTCCAACTTTCACATGCATATGAGGTAATCGAAAATACCACAGCTTAGGTCAGGCACACATTAGTCTTCAAACGGACATCTTTGCTCTTGTACACTTTAAAGAGGTCTTGTACAGCAGATTTGTCTAATGCAATACGTTGTTTGATTTCTTGACTGCTGCTTCCATGAGCGTTGATGGTTGATCCAAGCAAAATGAAGTCGTTGATAACTTCAATCTTTCCTCCATTTATATGGATGTTATTTATTAGTCCAGTGGTGAGGATTTTTGTTTTCTTTACACTAAGATGCAACCCATACTGAAGGCTGTGCTCTTTGATCTTCATCAGTATTTTAAGTCCTCTTCACTTTCAGCAAGCAAGGTTGTATCATCTGCATATCGCAGTCTGTTAATGAGTCTTCCTCCAATCCTGATGCCACATTTTTCTTCATATACTCCAGTTTCTCAGATTATTTGCTCAGAACACAGATTGAATAAGTATGGTTTAAGAATATAACCCTGGTGCACACTTTCCTAATTTTAAACCTAAATCATAGCAGATGCAAATATGGCGCCAGGCTAGTATGTGCTTTACATAGATCACCAACTCGGGATGATGTCAGTGTAAATAAAATCAAACCACACCCACTGCCCTCAGGTAGACCCTGACTCAAAGCGACCCCATAGGATAAAGTAGAACTACTCCATTTATAAGACCATAAATCTTTGCTTACAGCTGGAGGGTTTAAACTGCTGACCTTGCAGTTATCAGCCCAATGTGTAAACCCACTGTATTACCAGAGAAGAGTAAGGATTTTCCTAAATCCATAAGGACACAAGTGATTGGGAGCCACGTCTCTAGAGCTTTGGAGACAGAACAAAGTTCCGCAGCAATCTGGGGAGGAGTTCATTCGAGAAAAATGGCGGAATCTCAGGAATGCTTTATGGTGTTTTAATTTGCCCTATTCCTGTTCATCCCTGTCTCCCACCTCCCCATCCCCCCAAAAAAAGAAAACAACAGTGCTGCGGACTGGATTTCAGCTCATGGCGACTCCGTTTATGTCGTAGAGTTTTCAATGAATAGTTTTCCCGGAAGTACATCAGCACACCTTTCTTCTGAAGTGAGGTGCCTCTGGGTGGGCTCTTATCACCAGCTTTTCAGTTAGCAGCTGGGGACTTAACTGTTTGCACACCCAGGGACTTTCCACCCCACCCCTTAGTGTTAAAAGCGTTTAGTCTGGATGCTACCGGAAGTGGTGGAATAGGTTGGAGCTCCTTCCAAGCTCCATTCCTGAGACTTGTCATTGTCCAACTTGGTGGTTCCCCAGAAGACCCCACCTCTAAGGCTGCCTGTATTTGCCCAGACTCTGAGCTCACTCAATTTGTACGGTGTTTTCCTTGATGGCATTTGTCCAAAACAATCAGCAGACTGCCTGAGACACAGATAACAGCTGGACAAACATCAGGCTCCCCCAAAGCTTGAAAGGGAAAGACGTTGAATGGGGTACACAAGGGCGGCTTTGAGAAGGACAATCCTTATTCTCTTGCATCTGGCTTATTTCACTTAGCTTCTTCACCCTTTTCATCAACACTTTGCCAGGGTTGCCACAAGTGAAATCAGTTTCAGATTGCAGGGTATCAGAACTTCATTTCTCTTTATGGCTGGGTGATATTCCATTGCATGGATACACCACGTTTTATTTACCCATTCCTTTGTCAATGAGGCATGTTGGTTGTTTCCACCTTTTAGCTGGTGTGAGTAATGCTGTGATGAACATTTACAATGGCATCTCGGGGTGGGTGGCACCCAGTACAGTAACTGGGAATCTCCTTTCCTATCAGACCATTCAAAATCCTTAGAAATGCTTATTATCCATTTTAATCATAGAATTTGACTAATCGAGTTGTAAATTTCTTAAACATAATATTTCTTAGGATATATGAATGTTGTCATTGTTAATTGTCATTGAATCAGTTAAAACTCATAGCAAATCCTGTATAGTGTTTCCGAAGAGTAGCTGCTGAGTTTGAACTGTCAACCTCGTGGTGCAAACTGACCTTATGGTCAAGTGCTTATCCTACAGAGCCACACCAGGATTCCTGATTGTATGAACACTAGCTATAAAATTGTTTTGGGAAATCTTTCTATATTGAATTACAATATCATTAGTAATTAAGAAGAGGTTTTTTTGTTTTTTGTTTTCTGTCCACTGTGCCAATCCATCTCATTAGGGGTCTTCCTTTATTTGCTGACCCTCCACTTTACCAAGCATGATGTCCTTCTTCAGGGGCAGGTCCCTACTGATAATATATCCAAAGTTTGAGGGAGGAAGTCTGGCTTCTAAGGAGCATTCTGGCTATACTTCTTCCAATACATATTTGTTTTTCATCTGGAAGTCCATGGTACCGTTAATATTCTTCTCCAACACCATAACTCAGATGCATTCATTCTTCTACAAGATTTGCCTAATGCAATATGTCATTTGATTTCTTGGCAGCTGCTTCCACAAGTGTTAATGGTAGATGCAAGCAAAAAGAAGTCTTTGACAACGTCAAGGTTTTCTCCATTTATCATGATGTTAATTGATCGTCCA